GTCTGTGTGTGTGTGTGTGTGTGTGTGTGTGTGTGTGTGTGTGTGTGTGTGTGTGTGTTTGTGGTGACTTACAGGAGCAAGACCAAATGAGTCATAATGGACCATAATTACAATAGTGGGTGGGTCTTCTCCAGCTCCAGGAAGTACTCCCTTGAAATGAAGCAATAAATCGACTTGACTGACAGGTTTAATTATAGCCCAACACTATTAGGTTTTACAGAAAAGGATAGAGTTGCTGTGTGTGGCCAGCTGTCATTCTCACCTCTGAAGTAATGATGGTGGTATCGGTAATAGGCTTGAAGGGGGAGTTGTTGTTCACTAATATTTGGAAAGCGGTGGCAGTGATGATATACAGAGAACTGAGAAAAAAAGAAAGTTGATTCACATGGCTTAAAATTTACAGTAAATCTGCTTATATGAATATTTACTTAGTATAGCACTTAGTACACTCAAAAATATGTAGGTCTAGAGTCTTTTAAGATTTATGTATTCAAATTACATTTATAATTTCCATTTGGGTTGCATGGTTTTAATCTAACCAAGAAACTAAAAAAAAAACTAAAAACGAATAAACTTAATGTGATGCATGTTTGTCAGTCATACATAAATGAAACAGGTAAGATTTCTGTAATAGTAATAATAAACGGAATTTGCTTTAAATACACAATAACCAGGTTTATATATTTATCAACTGAAAATTTTTATATTTCATTTTAATTGAATATTGCTTGTTCCATATCATATTTTAACCATTTTCATACTTTTTAACAGATTAAATTATGCTATTTGGACAGAATTATGCTAATTCTAAAACATTTTAAAAATATATTTAAATATTTAAATAAAATCAAATAGATGCAAAGTTAATAATAAACAATGCCTTTTTTTTTTTAAATGCAGAAATCTCTTTCCTGTTTCATGTATGACTGACAGTTTATTTTTATGTTAAAAAAGTGTCATTCAAATGAAAATAATTTTTTATATCCAATTCAAATACATAAATCTTACATTTTATGACTGCTGGTACTCTGTAGCATCCCTCTCACCTCTCACTAGTGCAGAAGCAGACTTAGTTGCTGCAGCCTGAGTGACTTCTTCATTCATACAGAGCAGCTGGTCGTCCTCTGGGACCACATACTGTACATGAGGGTCTCCTTCTGCAGGACCTGAGATTCGGCCACCATAAAGCAGTGCATTCTTAATTAAATCAAGAAATGAGATTTTCCAGTGGTGTGTTTCACATATTGCTAAATCAGTAAGGATTTCAGAATAAGTTCAATTCTGTGGTTTGGCATTATTAAAAAGACATCATGGCTATTGCTGAATTCAGAATCACATACTAGTATACTGCTCTTACTATTTTTATCATGTCTTTCTATGGCAGGATTAGTACAAGTAGTATGTGATTCTGAATTCAGCATTGTTTGAAATAACATACTGCCTGTTTCCCACAATGCATTGTGCTTGACTTGACATTTTCAGTCTGACAAATGAGCTGGAAGTAATATGAACAATAACCTTTTGACTTGTAAACTACCAGTCACAAGTTTGGAATCATTACAATTGTATGGTTTTAAAAGGTTTTATGCTCAAGTCTCTAATCCTCGCCAAGGCTGCATTTATTTGATCAAAACTACCGGAAAAACAGCAATATTATAAAATTGTATTACAATTTAAATAACCGTTTTCTATTTTAATATTTTAAAAATGTAATTTATTCCTGTGTTGGCAAAGCAGATTTTTTAGCAGCCATTATTCCAGTCTAATATACTGATTTGGTGCTCAGTTATTAACAATGGTACTTTTTATTATCAGTGTTGAAAACATTTGCTGCTTGATTTTATGTGGATTCTTTGATGAATAGAAAGTTTAACAATAGAAATAGAAATCTTTTGTACCATTATAAATGTTTTTGCTGTCACTTTTGACTAATATAAGGCATCCTTGCTGAAGAAAATAAATTATTTCACAAAAATACTGTTTTACTGTATTTTTTATTAAATAAATACAGCTTTGGTGAGCATAAAAAAATAATAAAATAAATAATTAATTATTCCAAACTTTTGACCGAGTGTATTTTTGCACAAAATGGGATTAAAACTCAATTTCTTTTTCACTTTTTATTCTTCTTATCCATAACCCATACAAATAAAGAAATTTGCAAATGATGCGTTGTAAATGCACCACTGTAGACTTAAATATATGTTTATAATTATTTTATAATTGAAATTGATATTTAACCTAAAAATAAAAAATGATGTTATGATCATTTTCCTCACTCTCATGTCATCCCAAACCTGTATAACTTTTCTTTTCTGTGGAACATAAATATATGATATTTTGGAAAAAATTATCATTTTTTTGTGTGAACTATGCCTTTAAACTGTGGTGTGTTACCATGTTTGTCCTGATGTAAATTGTATTGCTGCATCCTGTATGCGATGAACTCATAGGAGGATGCAGCCGGCAGGGCAGACGCATGCAGGAGATGCACTGACAGCAGCAGAAGTGCCGCCACTTTCCAGGTTTGAAGAGTCATGCTGACCCCCCACATCTGAGTCCACCAAAAGACATCTATGAAAAATGCAAGATGAAATATTAAAAAGAACAATAAACCTATTTTTTCCAAGAATCCTTAGAATCCATGGACTGCTGAGTGTCCGTACACACTTATAATAAAATCTATAGACATTTCAAGACATTACTAACTACTTGAATGAACTTTAACGTGTATAAAATTAACTTAACTGCAATAATTATGTTTAAATAATATTTTAAAATATCAAAAATGTATTTTAAATTGGCAGTTTCTGGGCCTGTACGGTTTGCAAATCCCCGATCTATAGAATAATCAGGCACAAAAATATATTTCAAATATTGACATTTACAAACAAATAAACTATTAAATGCCAGAATTAGTTTTAATCACAAATAGCAATTCATCTAAAAGCAAAAAGCCATTTTTATCAAAAATATCCAATATTATGCATGGTGTACGTTTTTTAATCATGCAGAATATGGACACAATGTAATGAGCAATAACAATAATCGCTGAGTATCGACTACAACCTTAGCACTTCACATCATTAGGCTAATTATAATGAAATTTGCTGCCATGCGTAAAACTTGATTAAAAGAACAGTAGATGTAATAAAATATCATAGCAGAACTTGGCCCAACATGGTCCTAGTTTAAGACTGGAACTCACCCAAAATCTACGTTCGATCTTCCTCAGTGTGGAAGAACGATCTGTCTTGTGCTCTGAGCAGGATGTGATGTCCGAAGCATGGCCGGGACAAGGCTTAGAGAGGCCTGTAAGTAAGCCTAGTGCACCATCTGGCCCAGACAGGAATAAACCAGGCTAATTAGTCTTCTCCTCCAATTCCACACAATCTACACTTCTGCACCCCTTTCCAGTTGTTACAATTTCTTGTCACTGAAGTCTAAACCTCAGAATTGAAAGAAATATGGTTGAATACAGGAAAGAGCCAGTCAAAAGTTGTGACACACCTACTCATCGTTTTATTACCGTTTCTTTTTATTAGTATAAAATAATACTCATATCACCAGAACTGTGAAATAAATGTGTGACCAAAACTATTTTATATTTGACCTTCTTCAGAGTGGCTGATATGTTTGCTGGATACTTGCTGGCTGCTTTTTTCACTATCTGCTATAATAATAACACCAACAACAATAATAAATGTATTTTAAATATACTTGAAACAAATACAATTTTATTTCATAAACATTTTTCTAATTCATATTCAAATTCAGTATATAAATTCTGTCAATGAGTCAAAACTTTTTTCTGGTAGCATACATATGCATAAAAATACACAAGACAAGGGTGTTGCAATTGTAATTTACTGTAATTGTATTTACTGATATGATTCACTACACAGAACAACATTGTTAAATACTGGCATGGAAACTGTTCATGTCTTTACAATCATATTTATCGACAGCAGAGGGAAAAATTGTAGGAAAGAAAATAGAACAAAATGTAAAAAAAAATCCTGTATATCAATAAATTAAAAACATACCACCGGCAATAAATAACATGAACCATTGTATAGCTTGACTTAAGGCATAGTCTACTTATGTGTAGTAACAGAAAGCGGACAATCTCTATTAGGTGTTACACAACAGAGTGTATCTTGAACCAAAGAACCAAAGCAGAGGCACAGGGGATGACAGACATCTTCATTCATCACTACACAGATCAGTCAGTCGTACAGCGCATCTGTAAGTACCATGACAGCTTAGAAATGGCAGGCTTAAGAGACCTTTCCGAACTCACCGAATTCTCCATCTACTGTACATATAAGGTAAGTCTATTGAACAGGCATTTTGTAGGTTTGTGCTACGCTAAGGACTATACCACTGAAACATGGCCAAAAGTGGACATTTTCCCTTGTGGAATAAATTAACAATGGCATTGGCAAATGAAAACGTTTGTGTAATGCTCATGCTGGTGTCAATGACACCATGAAATACACAAAAATACTGAGTGAATGCACCTCTATATGGCAGTGTAGTATGAAATACTTGCCTGCATATCAATACAACAATAAAAATGTAAGCATTTAGGGATATAGGTTTGGGGAGTTTGCATTGTTGCATTTTGTATCCATATGAAAAGCAGTAAAAAGAAAATATGTAACCGCATACTGTTCTGAAGGAGTTTCAAAATGATACACCGATCCACAATAATCAAAACAAAAAGCTTGTCAATTCATACATCAGATCTACACTACCGTGTAAGTTTGGGGTCGGTAATATTTTTTAATGTTGTTGAAAGTCTCTAATACTCACCAAGACAGAATTTATACAGTAAAAACAGTAATACTGTAAAATATTTTTACAACATAAAATAACTGTTTTCTATTTTAATATATTTTAAAAAGTAATTCATTGATGGCAATGTTGAAAACTGTGGAAGCTTGTTTCTGCCACAGGATTTTTTTTAAAAACTCACATTTCAGACTTTTTCCTCGCAATTCTGAGTTTGTATCTCACAATTCGGACTTTCTGAGAAGAAAAGCCAGAACTGAGGGAAATAAACTTGAGATTGCAAAGAAAAAAGTCAGAATTGCATGAAAAAAAATGTCTGACTTATACGATAATTGTTTTATGGCATGGCTGAAACAAGCTTCCATTGAAAACAGTTATACTGATTAATATTTTTGTGGAAACAATGTTTATTTTTTTAGGATTTTAATGAATAGAAAATGCAAAAGAAAAGCATTGATTTGAAACAGAAATATTTTAACACCATAAATGTCTTCACTGCCAAATTAATGCATTTTTGTTGAAAAAAAAAAAACACTACTAAACTATTAGAAAACAATAAATCCTACTGACCTCAAACTTTTGAACAGTTGTGTATAAAACATGAAATATTAGATTATTATACTATTATATTGTAATCTCCCTTCATAAATTCTCTCGCATCAGATGAAAACTGGAGTGTTACTAGGTTATGTGCTTGGTGCAATGGCATTTAATTACAGCTGTCACTGCCAAATTAATGCATTTTTGTTGAAAAAAAAAAAAACACTACTAAACTATTAGAAAAAAAAAAATCCTACTGACCTCAAACTTTTGAACAGTTGTGTATAAAACATGAAATATTAGATTATTATACTATTATATTGTAATCTCCCTTCATAAATTCTCTCGCATCAGATGAAAACTGGAGTGTTACTAGGTTATGTGCTTGGTGCAATGGCATTTAATTACAGCTGGCAATGGCAACTGGGTGACGATGTACACGCAAGACGATAAGGTGCTCTGTAAGTTGTACAAAATAAAAAACTGTTGCATGACAAAACAATGGCATTTAATTACAGCTGGCAATGGCAACTGGGTGACAATGTACACGCAAGACGATAAGGTGCTCTGTAAGTTGTACAAAATAAACAACTGTTGCATGACAAAAAGAAAACAGAAATAATGTAGAGAACAGTACAATCTTCAAATCGATGCAAAGACCTTCATACTCTGAGTGTTGTAGTGTTGTTGTTGTATTTAACAGAAGTAATATAGATTTGGCCACTGACTCAAACAGCTGAGATGAATTTATAAAGACATTTGTAAGGGAAGGCATCAAATTGAAGCGAAACAGCAAATGCAGAGTATCCTGTTCCAGAGTACTACACTTAATGTCGGACAAAATGGTACTGCACTTTCTAATTGCTATAAAGACGAGAGCACAAAAGTGTCAAATTGATTTCTGGCAACATTTTGAATGCTGGCTATAAGCATTTCATGACCTTTCCATCTTTAAAATAAAGAAACAACACATTTTGTGCATTCTGACAGAAATCGGATGAACAGAATTGATAGAATTTTTGTCCTGTTAAGGACACAGATTATGGGACATGTATCTGGCAGCTGCTATTATCTATAAGTAAATCAATACAAGCTTTCTTCCCCTCCTAATACATTGCAACAATTCTCAAAACAAAGAGCTCTCAGAAATGATGAATACTGTACTGAATTATCTTGTGTCTTATGTCGAGGTACATTTTTAGTTTATCTTTGAAAACTAACATTTAAGTTCCTTTAATCCAGTTTAACTGTTGGGTTTGTGTACAGCAACACTGACCGAAACACTGAACACAATAGAATATGTTCAAAAAAATAAAGTCTCTTAGTAAACACATCTCAATTATTCAATGAAATTCCCTGACTTAACAATTACATCTGCTGTCAATTTCGTAGCAGATCGGTGTCTTCTGTATGGATATCTCAATTTAAGAGAATTACTTTATTAGTGTTTGCTACAAAGCTACATATAATATATTAATACGTACATCTGCAATGTAAATGATCTGAGAAACAAATTCACCTGGTCACTATACACTCCCTTTCATTACAAAACAAACACATCTGTCCTAATAACATCAGAAGCATCAGTTAAACAAAGGCAAATGTTCTAGAGCAGTCATTTACAAAAAAGAAAAAAAAAAAAAAACCCCGTTGATTTTGCTTTGATAAACCTATAAAACAGAAACTGAGTTTCAATAAAAATAAAATCATTAGGGCTGCCAAAAGATACTCTTACTCTTTAAATTAATCATTTTTAAATACGTATTATATAAGTGAAAAGGAAAACATTTCTGATTTGGTGTAAAGGGGCCCTTCCTGATGGACTGCGAGGGTATTTAAGACAAAAACATTGGGAAAACTGAAGGTTACTGAGAAGTCTGTAGTGTGAAATGTTCATTTTTGTTCCATTTTAAAAGAGCTGTATTCTTCTAATGTTGCACCATGCATTTATATACACACCTAATTCTAGTGCCCTCTGGTGATGATACTCACGTCCTACCATAGGAGGAACCAAAGACAGTTACATGTGCATTTTCATTCATTATTTTTCCCTATTTTATGTTCATTTTAATACACCCATTCTATTGTTTTTAAGTTCTTTAGTAGTTAATCTATGCTGAGAGTGCTAACTGTGAGCTTAACTCACAGACTTGGGACAGGAGGGGTTACTGAATTTGACAGGCTATGGAGGAAGTGGCTTGGCAGCACATGCAGGTGGGGTTGACTGATTTAGGGGGGATGAGATCAAGGTCTTCATCATCTGGGATTTCGTCCAATCGGTAGCCATCCTTCAGCAGCTGGATGTTTAAGTCTTGGTTTATTTGCTGTGGCAAAAATTTAACAAAATGGTTACAGTAGTTATCAGAGAATTTAAAATATTTTAAATAATATAATCTACCAAAAAAATTTATATATTTTTGGGTGAACTGAACCTTTAAAACATTATATTATACAATGCCACTTTAGAAAAGATGTGATGACTTAACTAAACTAAACTACAAAATAAAATAAAATAAAACAATGCAAAAATAAACAAAATATAAAATAAAAATAGTAAAATAAAATAAATATTGGCTAAGTTTCTACTCAGTTAGCAGTTGATTTATTTTAACTATGTACTGTAGAGACAAGTGTAAGTCTAATGAGATGGCAAAGGGTTAAAATACTTAATTAAGTGGCTTTATTTCATTGCATAAGTACCTGGTCATTTAGACATCTCACCTCGGCTGAGGAATATCCAGATGATGAATATCTGGACATATCAAAGTCATCGTCACTAAAAAAAACAACAGGAAGTACACAGTCACAAATGAGCACCTTAATTTCAGATAAACAGCCACAGACCAATGAAATCAGCCCTTCTGCAGCAATTCAATGACTCACTTAAAAAAAACTCAAAACTCAAAAACTGCAAACTGTTTTTTGATTCAACAAAGATCTGTTTAGGTATATCAAATATAGCTTCCATATTGAATGTTGATTCCCCTAATTTATTTTTCAACGTGTATTCTGCCTATAATGTTTCTAGTAATATTAGACACATTTTTATAAATACAAAAGAGATTCTATTTAGTCACAGTACAGCAAGAGAGAGAGAAAAATGTGAAGATGACATTTCAGCCCAATTAATTTATCAGGAAAAATCAACAGCGACAATCTGGAGCCTTCTGCTGATTGCTGCGGTAATTACAAGTTGTTTTAATGAAGCTGAGCGCTCCAGGAATGAGTATGACAGCAACTAGTACAAGCATGTGATGGACAAAGCGCCTGAGCATGTGACAGACAGTGGGTGTACGTACTAAATGTCAGGGAATGAGTGCTACATACAGCGAGGCTGAAATGGAAAAACAGAAAGAGAGAGACAATGAAGGATGGGTGATCTAAAACATGACTTAATCACAACTGCAGGCAGCTGAGGTCACAGACAGCTGGCAGCACAGAAAGCATTAAGTTAAGAGACCCATCTGTGTGAGACACTGCACGCTGTGCCTGATCATCTGAACTGAACAGCAACCACGCTATTATGGCTGAACACATACTGTGACACATCTCATTACAGAAGGGTGTAGGCTACACAAACGACACCGATGATTTCAAGTGCTTTGGACTTCTGTCAACAAACATGTTTTCTTGCTTTTTTCCAACTCTCAGGACTGGAAACTTAGAGACAAGACAAATCCAGGCCAGAATTACACTGCTAATGGTGACTCTGCACTAAGAGCATGTCATAGTCCGGAATGCTTAAAGGGATAGTTCACTAAAATATGAAAATTCTGTCTTAACTGACTCACCCTCAAGTTGTTCCAAACCTGTATGAGTGTCTTTCGTCTGTTGAGCACAAAAGAAGATATATTGAAGAATATTGGAAACCAAACAGTGGAAGTCAACAGCTACAGTCAATTGTTTGGTTACCGACATTCTTCAAAATATCTTTCTTTGTGTTCAAAAGAAACTCATACAGGTTTGGAACAAGTGAAAGGTGAGTAAATGGTGGCAAAATTTTCATTTTAAGGTGCGCATTAACACATTAATCATTCCATATCATTGGAACCATATCATTCAAAAACGGTGTTTTCCACTATTTTCTGAAACAAAGTCATTCTAATTATGAAAATGAAGCTGCAAAACACACAGTGAGCATAAGCAAGTATGCATTAAATTATTAAGCAGATTATATTAATATTAAGCAGCACAACTGTTTTAAACATTGATAAAAAAAAAGTTTCTTGAGAAGGATCATGTGACACTGAAGAATGGAGTAATGGCTGCTGAAAATTCAGCTTTGCCATCACAAAAATAAAATACAATTTTAAATATATTGAAATAGATCTGTTAATTAAAAATTGTAATAATATTTCACAATATTATGTTTCTACTGTATTTTTGATTAAATAAACACAGCCTTGGCATAAGAGACATATTCAAAAAATCATACTGACCCCAATCTTTTGAATGGCAGTGTAAATATTAAAGGTACTGAAAAAAGTCAGTTTAATTATTATAATCAGAGAGCGGGTGGACAATGGTCATGTGAAAATAAATGATTAAAAATTATGTTAATAATCAATTAAAAACAAATTACATTTTTGGCCTCAGAAACTTTTACAACATTCGTTAACTTAAAGAGGAAAAAATGTACAAAAGAAAGTGAAAGTGCTCCCTAAAGAGACAATATTATAAAAGATACTGCAAACTGAACCAGGTAATGAGACTTGCTTCTGCCTTTCTAGACAATTTTGTTCATATTTAATGAGAGTCTCTGCTGTGATGGATGAGAATTGTATTTATTTTTATTTTTTTGCAAAAGCAAATGTTGATTCTTTAGTCACTTTAAAATGAGTTGGTATTTTAATTAAATGTCAGGTCCTTTTTTGATGGAGGTGGCTGGCTAGGAAAATGACACAAAGCTTTAATTAGAGGATTTATTTCCATCTCTCGTCGTTTGATACATCCTAATCCTTCCCTTGAAGTGAAGCATTCTGAAATATTCACAAAAGATTTCTAGAGCACTTCCCTGAGAATAATAGAATGAAGTTTTTCGTGTGAATACCTGTCAGTGTCCAGTGCTACAAGTGGCTTCTCATCTGGACTCTGGTCTAAGGATGAATAGCCTTTATTAGGGACAACCAACCTGTAATGAAAGTAGGACAAATGGAAGAGACTGTCAGACCAGTTCAATCAAACATCTATGCTTATACATCTATGCTTGAATATTAAAGGCACAATATGTAATTTTGCGCTGGAGGGCGCGTATTCAAAATAAACAAAGAGACAAAGGCATAGTTTGATGACGCTGTGACTGAGTGTGGAATCATGGGAGTTGTGGTCTTCATCCCCACAGCCGAAGCAATCCGACGGGACTCGGGCAGAAATCATGTTCATGGATGAGCTAATGATTTATTAACGTAGTAGAATGAAGCAGGGTGAGGCTGAAAGCCGTCGAAGCGAAACGAGGCCGCTGAACGAGCGCGACACACGGCTCGAAAGCAGTGGAGCTTTAATTATGCCACAGTCGACCGCTTCCGCTCCTTCCGGTCATGCGTATGTGGGGGAAAAAAACAGCTCTTTTTTTATCATACTAGATACATTTTTCTTTAATACTATTTTTAAGAAAAAAATCTGCATAATAATATAGTGTGTGTATATATTTTTTTAATTAAAAGAAAAAAATATCTAAAATCAGATTGTAAACAACTAATGATAAGATACAATTTTATAACAAAAATCAAATGATAAAAATCCAAAACGTTCTTCATTTTTTTTATACACAGGCACAATACCAGTAATATAAATATAGCCCAATATTATCTAAATTATATCTCTCTCATTATTATAAACCTTCAAAAACAAAGGCAGCATTTTTTGGTTTTATTTTTATCTATTAACCTTTCATTTTAATATCCACTTTTCCCAGATCAATAAGTACTAGGACAAATCTGGCAAGGGAAATCAAATAAATAAGAGGCATGGCTGAGTTTAACATTATCAAACCCTGTTACATTAAGAACTACTTGTAGGTTTTGTAAGAAAGTAGTTTTTAATGAAGTTATTTCTCATGAAAATGAGAGTGGACCAAACCTCACCTTGTTCTGGCCATAACGTTATTTTTCTCCATAGCCGGCGCTAGACATCTTTTGTTCGTCTTCTCTGGGACAAAAGCTTAAGTTAATCTATGGCCCTCAGGCTTTTAAAGCAAGCAGGCCTGTGTGCAGCTAATCTTCAGGCCTAAAGCTATGCTCTAAACCAGGCCTGCGGATGGGTCCTTGCATTTGAACTAATCCTGACAGGGCACTAGGGACCGGTGGGATGGCAGAAGTCCTCATACACACTGCACTAACACTAATTAACATTCATAGACTGTAAAGCCTTCATATAAAGCTGCTGTTTATAGGATTTGATGTTGTTGCTGTTCATATTTTAATGTACTAAACAAATCAACCATTATTATGAGGCCATACATTTGTTTTAGTTCCGTTCTTCATCGAGCCCTTCCTCGCAAGCTCTCGCTGTTTCTCTAACGAAAGAACAAAATGAAAACAAATGACATTTTATAAATCTCCTATTGACTTACATTGATAGAACGTTCAGCATTCAAAACGTAACCAATAGTGATGGTGTGATCGTAATATTTGCATTGGTCTTCAGTCTCATAGCCATTTGCATACTGAAGACTGCCTTCCTTGCATACATTTATAACTGCAGTTACGCTTTGATTGTGTTCTGCTGAATCCAGATAAATACCATGGCAACACACAAAGTTTTATTATGGGTTGAGACTACAGTCTTATTAATATTCTCCATTCTGCGTGGTTCTCTGGCTGGAGAACAGTTTCTTCAGGCGTGAAGCTTGACTTCTGCGTGACTTACACACACTGGCCTGCATGTGTGTGTGGAAGATTTCTCTGCGGTGCTATAAGTAATAAGGCTGTCAGAGGGAGGACTGTAAAGTGAAGTTTCATTAACAACAGCAACTGCTGTACTTCTGGATGCCCTAACCGAGCGCAACTCAACAGAAAGCGGCGTGAACAGACCCAGGCTGGTTTTTTCCTGATACTTGAGGAGAAAAGGACTAATAATCAATATTTTAAATAAGCAACCACATGTGTGTCAATCATTCAGCCAATGAAACAGTGCAATTGTCTTTTTTTTTTGGGGGGGGGGGGGGAAATGGACTTTATTTCTACCCCTCAAAGATTCTTTTTTTTTTTTATGGGGGGATTATATTTTTTTTGTTGTTGTTGGGATAATATTGATGGCCAATAATAATTTTAAAGTTATGGTTGCAGTGTTGTTACTGTTAACTAAGACTAAAATTATTAAAAAATTGCTTTACATAATTGAAATTCAGCTGTAATAATATAAAATATACATATCAGGTGAAAAACTTCAACAAAAAAAATTAATTGTTGTTTTGGCAACTAACATATATACATATATAACAATAATTTGTAGTACTAAAATGACTAAAACTGAAATAAAAATAAATTAAAGCTAAATAGAAATGTAAAAATAACAAAAGTGCAGCAAAATTAATCAAACGTAAACATTAAAATTAAAACAAAAATATAAAAATAAAATAATATTGATAAATACTGTAATAGTATGTAAAATACAACTTTTTTGGTTTGTTTGTTTTTTGGTAAACAGACTGCCAATAATTATTTTAATGTTATGGTTGATAAATGATATAACGGCTATTTATTATAAATGTATACGTTTTCCATTATACCAAATTCCAAATGATTATTAAATTATTACATTCATTATTAAATTATTAAATGTTACACAAAGTAGATTGCTTCAAATGAAATTGAGCATTAAAACTTTTTAATATTCAAAAAGATGGTCAAAAATATGGATGACTATTTGGGTGCAACAAATGACATGAGTTTTTTTGCAATTTACACAGAAATTAATTTTGCTCATATTTCAAATTTCCTTGTAGAAAAAGAAAGCTCCACAATTGTATTTGAAAAGCTGTAGTTACTTTATCTGAGAGAAACATTCAGATTTGAAGACTCATTACACTCCTGCTTATTGAAAACCACAGTCATCCATTTCACACGGCCTACTGCTAATCGCTTCTTAGCTCTCGCTCCAAACCGTATGCTTCACAATCACAGTATCAAGTGGGAAAATCAATCCAGTCGTTTTTAAAGTGAGTGAGTGTGAGTGACGTGACATGTGGCCAAGTATGGTGACCCATACTAGGAATTAGTGCTCTGCATTTAACCCATCCAAAGTGCACACACACAGCAGTGAACACACACACCGTGAACACACACCCGGAGCAGTGGGCAGCCATTTTTTGCTGCGGCGCCCGGGGAGCAGTTGGGGGTTCGGTGCCTTGCTCAAGGGCACCTCAGTCATGGTATTGAAGGTGGAAGAGAGCGCTGTACATTCACTCCCCCCACCTACAATCCCTGCCGGTACGAGACTCGAACCCGCAACCTTTGGATTACGAGTCCGACTCTCTAACCATTAGGCCACAACTTCCCCTTTTACACTCAAATGGACAAATTACACTGGTGATGATATGGCATGTTATTCAGATCACTGGCTGAATGAGAAAGTGCCTTACCTATCTTCACTTGCAGCGGAGAGGGCTTGTAGTTGATGGCGACTGACTCTGATTCTCTCGTTCCTGTTTCAGCCTCCAAAGTGGACGTTGCTGCAGGATCCTGGAGACAAAAACACAATCACACTTATCAGTAGATGCAACACTACATTCCCAAGTGCAGACGCTAGATATTAGCAATATGCAAAACTATACATTTCCAAAATTGACTAGTTGGCAAATGGATTTTGAGAAAGCTGTGTTTCTATATGAATTAAGAGTGTAAATCTAGAAAAGCCTTCCAAATCTGAAACAATGTAACGTAGAAAGGCTCTCTCTGGTACAAAACCCCAACCATGCTCAGTGTGCTGATGAAAAATAGACAGCAAAAATCAGACTGGTTGTAAATAATGGCATCTGGAGAGGCAGGGCATGTATCAAGGGTGTTGATTTTACTGGGGTTGAGTAAAATAACACGAGTCAGCACAATGTCAGCATGCTGTCACCAGAACGGGTCATTTTAATACATCTCTCACAAAACGTCTCAGATTTGCTTTCACAGCTGTGCTCCAGCAACTTATCAATTCTGGGAGCAGAGATAGATGTAGGGCCTGTGCAGTCGAAAACTCCCAATGTACTGTAAAGTTACTGGTTATCAGATTAATCCCGATTTTGTCTGAATTTATACAAGATTTTATTCCTAAAAACATGGTCAAAATTATTTTTTCTGGCAGTTGACAGTATTTTCTGATTCATGGAGTGATAAAAAGAGATATCCAAAATTCCATCTGTAAAAAAAAAAACTTGAACTCTAATGAAACAAAATGAAAGAATTTTGAATCTGGCTTTATCCAATGTTCAGACTTCTCTTCTGGAAATGTATTATCTAATTAGTGCATATTTAATTAGATAATGTATCATTTGCATATTTAAACAGTAAATATCAGGAAACTTGTAATACTGTAAAAGAAAAACTTGCAAATCTTAATGTAGTCAATGGGGCAGTATGAAAAATTAATACATTAATCTACTAGTTTATTTTTTGGGATGTCTTGCCTTAAAACAATATTGAATAAATCTATTTTATTTTATTTTATATAGGCTATAGTAGTGATGGCAAATAAATAAATAATAATTAAAAACATACATTTATTATATAATTTATATTTGATAGAAAATTATTTTTAATTCTAGGGGGGAAAAAACTTTAAAACATCTACATCTGTAGCGTAATATTAAAAGTATGACAGGCCAGTAAAATATGATCAATAGTCAAAGGTCTCTTCAAATATGTAAGTCTTGAGATTTATTAAAAATAAATTTATTTTGGAAATATACACAATACTAATGGAGACAAAAACACAATCACACTTATCAGTAGATGCAACACTACATTCCCAAGTGCAGACGCTAGATATTAGCAATATGCAAAACTATACATTTCCAAAATTGACTAGTTGGCAAATGGATTTTGAGAAAGCTGTGTTTCTATATGAATTAAGAGTGTAAATCTAGAAAAGCCTTCCAAATCTGAAACAATGTAACGTAGAAAGGCTCTCTCTGGTACAAAACCCCAACCATGCTCAGTGTGCTGATGAAAAATAGACAGCAAAAATCAGACTGGTTGTAAATAATGGCATCTGGAGAGGCAGGGCATGTATCAAGGGTGTTGATTTTACTGGGGTTGAGTAAAATAACACGAGTCAGCACAATGTCAGCATGCTGTCACCAGAACGGGTCATTTTAATACATCTCTCACAAAACGTCTCAGATTTGCTTTCACAGCTGTGCTCCAGCAACTTATCAATTCTGGGAGCAGAGATAGATGTAGGGCCTGTGCAGTCGAAAACTCCCAATGTACTGTAAAGTTACTGGTTATCAGATTAATCCCGATTTTGTCTGAATTTATACAAGATTTTATTCCTAAAAACATGGTCAAAATTATTTTTTCTGGCAGTTGACAGTATTTTCTGATTCATGGAGTGATAAAAAGAGATATCCAAAATTCCATCTGTAAAAAAAAAAACTTGAACTCTAATGAAACAAAATGAAAGAATTTTGAATCTGGCTTTATCCAATGTTCAGACTTCTCTTCTGGAAATGTATTATCTAATTAGTGCATATTTAATTAGATAATGTATCATTTGCATATTTAAACAGTAAATATCAGGAAACTTGTAATACTGTAAAAGAAAAACTTGCAAATCTTAATGTAGTCAATGGGGCAGTATGAAAAATTAATACATTAATCTACTAGTTTATTTTTTGGGATGTCTTGCCTTAAAACAATATTGAATAAATCTATTTTATTTTATTTTATATAGGCTATAGTAGTGATGGCAAATAAATAAATAATAATTAAAAACATACATTTATTATATAATTTATATTTGATAGAAAATTATTTTTAATTCTAGGGGGGAAAAAACTTTAAAACATCTACATCTGTAGCGTAATATTAAAAGTATGACAGGCCAGTAAAATATGATCAATAGTCAAAGGTCTCTTCAAATATGTAAGTCTTGAGATTTATTAAAAATAAATTTATTTTGGAAATATACACAATACTAATTGCACTAAAGTTAGACTGATGGATAGACAAATCTTACTGTCTTGTTGTCCAATATAAAATTTTCAAGCCTTCATTACTACTCAAAGTCTGGGCCAATTCACACCCTCTTTTCTCCACAGCCTCTTTTCTGCACAGCTGCTTGGTTGAGAGATGGATGAAGGAGAGAGATTCTAGCTGTCATAGTAACCGGCCGGTACTTCCTGCATAGTTGGCTCGCATGACACCAGGCATGTTTTGTTGCTCCAGCCTTCAATACGTAGGGTCTGAGTGCTCTGTGACATCACTCGAGACGGGGAGAGGCAGAACAGAGGGAGCTTGTTGGAGGAAATGTTGAGAGCACACCCAAGCTGCCTCTGCCAACAGAGCGCCTATTATGACCTAAAAAAGCCTGCCTTCATTGGATGCGCACCATGTGGCCATTTGAGTCTTTGGGGCCGTCATCGTGAGCCACTAGAGCCATGCGATTATAGCAACGCTATGTTTTTGGTACAGTTCATGACACACCAGATGACTAACTGAAGTGTCAAACTACTGCCAAAAGACAGTCTGGTGATCAGTAGATACAGCATGGTGTTACACAATACTGAAAGGACTTAACATTTTGAACTTTTTGATGCCACAGACACCCAAACATGATGACACCCTTGCTAGGATCCCCTAATCCTAAAACATAAAGGATTACATAATGCTACATCATTTATTAGATAGACAGATAGATAGATAGATAGATAGATAGATATTAAAATATTTAGAACATAAAGAATATATATTATATAATAAAAGCAATAAATATATATATATATATATATATATATATAGAGAGAGAGAGAGAGAGAGAGAGACTACTAAAAAGCTATATAGAAATATTTATATTATAGAAATAGACAAAAGGATATAGCACATAGCAAAACTATTAAAACTACAATCAAAATGAAAACTACATATAAATTAAAACTATTATAAATACACATTACTATAATATTATATAAATAATAGTAAAATAACACTGATACACAGATTAAAATTTTTTTGTACTTTTCCACTAACCACCTATCAACAATATCAATATCAAATGTCTGACATTAACAAAACAAACATGCTTAGCTCATGTTAGCGATGACTAAATGACGCTAAAACCTTTGGAGGGGTCACTGGATATAACAAATGACCTGTATCATAAAGAAATCCACTTGTGGAACAAACATGAAGTAGACTTGTTGTTGAAGGAAACCTCTTTGTCCACTGGTTCGGTCGTGGCATAGTGCCAGCTGTAGGCCTGGCAGGGCTCTCACAAACCCTTTAAGCTCAGCACCAGCTAAAGAGACCAGCGGGGGATTGTGGGTAATAGCCCAGCAGGATACCATCAAGCTCTTGAAGCATCTAATCATATGCCGGGCATGAAGTACATTGTCATTCATCTTTATCTCCAGCTGTTGCTCGTCCACAATATAATTTTCATTTTTTTCGAGCATCAGGACACACCTTCAAAGCAAGGAGATAATGCTTCAGATCAACATAAATTTTAAAATGCTATCTGTCTTTGTACTTTGTGGTCTACAAAGAACTCTGTTGAGTAAGCCAATGCTATTGAGCTTTCCAGACAGCCTTTGTTAGACTACATAGGCTACACAAATCTCAGAGCAACACCTCAAAGAACATCATCAAAGTCATGCATATTCCACCAGCTACATGAACAACTGCCTGTGAAATTTATGCAAGATCTACTGGAGAAAACCAAGAGAAGTGAAGCCTCAGAGCACTACAGAACCCAAGCTGATGCAACCCTAATCTCTGGTCTCATTGTTTAAAGCTGATTTAGAACGTTGTTGTCACAAGATTAAAGTGATCAGAAATCTATAGGAACTGAAACACATAAGCAAGTCTGCATTGATCTAGAGCAGAACACATCCACAGAAGAAAAAAAAACAAGATTACTATGACGAATCCATTAAAACACTGTACACCTGTAGGTCTCGTGTTAAATCTCTCACATGGACTAATGTTTGTCCTCAAGGACTTTAAAATGGATGTCAATGTGAAGGTCAATTTTTAACATCAGTAAAGATTTTAGATTAAATATAGATTAATGGCATCATGTGGGACCTTATGATCTGAACTCCAGGATCTTTATATGGATGTCAATCATGTCAATATGGCATGTTGGTGATGAAGGAGATGAAGATGAGTGAATGCTAACACAGCTGAGGCAATGAAAAGGATTGGTGGGATAATATGGCAAGATGTACTTTGGACCAATCATAGCAAAGCATGATCCATAAGGTGACTACCAGGTGATAGTGGTTAATCAGATAACCAACAATAACCAACAGATTAAAAGGGATGGGATGGGTTCTTCTACTTAAATTTCCCACTGATTTACAGGGTATTTAATGGTTAGGTTTTGTGTCAGGACAATGTTTGTTTGACAGGAATGTTGTTCTAGAACCAACAAAAGATGCTGATCCTGGAAAACGGCCTACTTGGCAAAATTACAGTCACCGCAAACTGACTCTGGCACTGTGGCAGCTTACTGTCATTGCTGCCCTCATTTTATCCACATGTCAATTGGAAATTAAAATTAGTCATTGTTTTTTTTTCTTCTAATTATTTATGTGACCTAATAGACTGTATCTTCATCTCTCTATAGACGAAGGTGATGAGTACAACAAATCAGAAAGCCAATAACTACTAAATCCGTAAAAGGAAGGAGTTTTCTTCTCTGAAAAACAGGAGCCATGTTGCAGTGGGTTTGTGTCCTTTTCTGCCCACAGAAGAATGAATTAGCATGAGAAAGCACAGTTTGTTGTATAGGGTAACAGCTGGGTCTTTGGCACTTTGGGAATAGTGGGGCGCCAATGAAAAAATAATGACATTATCACTCCAGGCCATATCTCACCAATCCAGCATATTCTAAAGTGCACACTTCAGTCCAGCCAGATAATGCAGGCCTACTAACTGAATGAAAACATATTTACTTCCCTGGAAATCAATGTGTTTACGCAAGCTCTGAAACAAATAAGACATTCAGGAAATTCAAGATGTATGTGTCTGCTACTACTGTCTGATTGGGTTGACGAGTTCAAATCCACTCAAGTCAAGTACTTTCCGGCCTGTATTGTTTGTAATTATCATCCTTGTGCTTAAATTCTACAGCATTGTGTTTATTTAACAAATTATTCTAACTGTTATGTTATTTTTAATTGTATTTAATGTACAAATTCTAATTCAATTTCAGCTTAAAATAATGATGTATCATCGTGTGGCCCTGACATTGGCACAAAAAGAACATTCCAGTGCAGTTAATTTGTAACATTTTTGCTATTCGGTTTTGTAAAGTAACTTCATTTCACATAATTACTTAAAGGGATAGTTCACCCAAAGATGAAAATGTGATATTTATCTGCTTACCCCCAGGGCATCCAATATGTAGGTGACTTTGTTTCTTCAGTAGAACACAAACGGAGATTTTTAACACAAACTGTTGCAGTATGTCAGTCGTATAATGGAAGTGAATGGGAATCACGGCTTTGAGAGTTAAAAAACATACACAAACAAAACCAAATTAAACCCTGCGGCTCGTGATGATACTTATAATGCACTTATAATTCTGCGATCCGCCATAAAGCAAGAAGAAGAAGAAGACGCGAACGCGCTCAGGACAGTTCGGACATTGTGGTGAATCAGAGGTAAAAAACGATATAAATACTGTTCAGTTTTTTTGCACAGACCGATTGTTTCGTGTCTTTACACATCAATGTATCGTCACGAGCCGCAGGGTTTAATTTGGTTTTGTTTGTGTAGGTTTTTTTGACTCTCAAAGCCGTGATTCCCATTCACTTCCATTATAAGACTGACAGACTGCAACGGTTTGAGTTAAAGATCTTCGTTTGTGTTCTACTGAAGAAACAGAGTCACCTACATCTTGGATGCCCTGGGGATAAGCAGATAAACATCAAATTTTCATTTTTGGGTGAACTATCCCTTTAAATGATACAAGTGAGAGCTCATTAATTTGGTTCTAGCGATTCATTTGAACAATAACCGCCTTTTCCGGTCCGATTCATAGAGGGTCGGACTGATTCAATCCGATTAATGAATAAAACGCGCAGACCGATTCATTGAAAAGCTCCCATTCAAAAAGAACGATACATTCACGAATCGGACACCTAATAAAAAACAGCCATTTCTGTCAGTCAAAAATAATACCACATATATAACTTGTGTGAGCTTTTATTTTGTCTCATTAAGGCAGGTTTACGAACATTTAAACACAACTGAGTTAATGTCAGTACCATGACAACTGGCATAGTATCAACATATAGTTGGATATATCGGTTTTGTCTAAATAAACCTACCGATCCTAGATGACATCTGGTAATGTACCAGCGTTTGTGAGCCAGGTTAATTGAGGTAATACAGAATTACTATCTTCTCACACAGTGTCATTTCCCACGACCTGTAAAGGTACACATTGTTATTCTCCATGTAGTGAGAGTGACACTTACCAGCAGCTTCATCTCTGGATTTACTGGTGGTACTTGAAATCTGTCAATTTCTTCCATCATTTTGATAAAACGTCAGTCTTGTAAAGTAAAGCACAAACGCTCAAGGTGATATCCTAATTGAAAAACGCATTTATTCACTGTCTGGAATGGTTCAAAGATGCCGAGTTCTCCAGGTTCATCTCTAGGTGTTTTCTGCTATCTGGCTATTACCAGTCAGGGGTGACTCAACAGCAACATCTGACTTCCGGGTCCGGAACCCCACCCATAATGACGAGTAGATGAATAATTAATGAGCCTGAAACCCACAGCTCCTGTGAGATAAGGTAGATTCGCAGATCAAAAGCAGCACAGCAAATCTTAGGATTATTTGCAAATGAAACATGAAAATCGTGCAGATGCTGGTACCATCATAATTTAATACTCCTACAAGTGCTAAAATATTACTTTTATAGTTTATTATTATCTATACATACTGGTAAAAAAAAAAAATTATAGCCTGAATGCACTGTAAGTCGCTTAGGATAAAAGCGTCTGCTAAATGCATTAATTTAATTTAATTTAATTTATTAAAAAAATAAATTGTTTATTGTGATAAATACTGTGGTTTTGTTTTATATTTGTAAATCAGGTAAAAAAGGCAAGTGGCAACTGTTGTTGTTGTTCTTGTTTGTCTCAAAAACACTTTGCATGTGTTGGCTTTTATGAAACTTTGAAAGACAAGTGTCGCGCTATCACCATCTTGTGGCGTTTTAGGCAGGTTTTAGACTTGCTCAAATTACGCCTTTGAATGACTTTTATTTTGAAACAACCTCCACAAGAATCCAGTCAAGTCTCTTCAGCGGTCTGCAGCAAACATTGATTTAGATGTGAAATGAGCTTTATGTATATTGTGGAAAACATTATAATAAAAAAATAATAAGTACAAAAACAATAATAATAATAACAGAAAAAACTAAATATTTTATGAACATGTTGATACGTTTTACTGATATTTACTTAGAATTTCTACTTTAAAATTCATTGGTTTAAACAAAACCAGAATACATTTTTAAATATGAATATAAAAATGTTATATTTATTTATTTAAAATTTATTTATTTAATTATTTATTCGCATATAGGAATTTTTCAACGCTTTTATTTTGAAAGCTAACTCAGTTTTTAGGCTTCTTCACGTTTTCACATGTTGCTGTAGCCTGTTTGTGGGCTCACACAGACGCTGAAACAAAATAATAGAGAGCATTTCCACAACTTGTTTATAGTTTCTGGTCGAACAAAGATTACCACTGGAATGTCGTTAAACAGAGATTCTAAGCTTCGTTTGTATCCTTGACAACACATGCAGTTTGGGCCTCTATTATGTCTATGTTCTGTTAGGCTTGGTTTCTAAGGACACCGTTGCTTAGAAGACAACGTACAGGCGATTTCCTCCAATCACGAACACGCACTTGCAACGAACCCTTTTGAATCAGCCAATCAAATGAAAGACCGATTATCCACCAGAAGAATGGGGTTTCGAGCATAGACATAATATGGCTATGGTTTCGAGACTCTGGGATGACACGAAAACTGAAGTAGTTTGCAACTATTTTAATGTACATTTTACCCGTATCGACGACGTTTGAATGTTTGTAATTTCGCATGGTAAGATGGTTTGCAAATAAATACGTTTCGCTTTATGTTTTAACGACTTTGTATTGTAGACATCTTCAAATTGTACTTATACTGATTGATGGACATTTCTCCTGCTCTATTTGCAGCTTCTCTGTCTTACTCATGATGTCTGTTTCATTTCTTTTTCGCCGTCTTTGTGTTTATGTACCGTGAAAGCTAGTTTCTGCTTCCTTAGCAGGTTAATTGCCTATTAGCTTGCAGCTCAGTGTCCTATTTGGCTTCCATTCACTTCTGAATCCATTGATGATGTAATGGTGGATATATTGAATATACTTGCATATATTGAATTGTTGTTGTCACCTTTATATTAAGCCAGATGTCAGTCATGATTATAAGAGGGTCTGTTGTGGTGGTCTCGGTTTACCTCTGAGTACTTGAGTTTCTGTCTTCTGAAACATGACCTGAAGATGTGTGACCAGTAAAATTATACTTCAGACGTGTTCTCTGATCCATAAACAAAGACTGGTACTTTACTTGAGTAGTTAGTGTGTAGTTGTGACTATGAATTTTAATTTTATTATAAAATACAAAAATAAATGAAGTGGTATATATTCATTTAAAAAAATGTGTTTATGTGAGTTTATATACCCTTTTTTATTTATTTTGATATTTTACATTTGTTAGATCATCAGACGTGCCATTTTAAAGAGCATAAATATAGAATTCAACCTACTTATTAATATCAATGATGTAGATTGTGTATATTAATAATTATGACAATGCATTACGTGTTAAATAGGTAGGTGATATGACGTACAGGATTGTATGTTGCTTAGTTAAGTTCTAGCAGTCGGTTGAACAATTTACAATCTGGACGGTTTAGAAAAATGAATTTACATAGGCACGTTTATTGGTATTTATCTTTTTTTATGCAGAGAAAATCAACGACAAACTCTTCTTCCCCACCTCTGCATGTGCATGTGAACGAGACCATACCTGTGCATGTGCATGTGAAGAAGAGCACAAAATGCAGCCCTACCAAGACAGCCCAGGTATAACATCAGCTTGCAGTCTGTGCATAGACACCATCCTCAAAATATCCTTGCATATATAATCACAATGATTATTACACAAGAATAAAGAAATGTCTACAGAGGTGTGCAGCTTCAGTTCTTTTAATGCTGCTTAGAAATACTCCAAAGATCCATGAGACCCATCTCTCACCATGTATGTCTTTTATGTTCCAGGTTAAAACAAAAAGTAGCTTGCATCCTACTGCTAAGGTGAAGACAAGGGTCCCCTGGATCCCACCTGGCAAGGTCTCAACACGAGAGACCCCATTTAAGTGGGAGGTCAGTCAAATATTACAAATACATTCCCATTTGTGTTTGTGCATATTTCATGTAAAATAATACACACTATGCAGTCCTTTGTAGAAGTGATCAATATTGTGTTATTTCATATTATGATGTTTATGTATATTTTAGGGACCATCTCATCGTCTGGAGATAACACCTCCACAGGAACCAGAACGCTCCCAGTCTCCTCTCCGAATAGAAGATCTCTCCACTGATGAAGAAGAGGCACTGCATGGACGCATCAATCAGTACGAGAGGAAGATCGACAGCCTGATGACAGAGGTCAGCTCTCTGAAAAATGAGGTGAGAAATTTTTCAGTTTTGTTGTCATTCTTTTCTTTCAGCGAAAATAGAGAATTATATCCCAGGAAAAATTCATTCAGCAATTAGAAACAAACTGTTTAAAGTAAACATATATACACTATAGTGCAATTTGGGGTCTGTAAGTTTTTTTCCTTTTCTTTTTCTAATAACAGTCAAGGCTGCATTTATTTGATCAAATATTGTGAAATATTATTAAAACTAATAAAAAATGTTTTTAATATAGTATAAAATGTAATTTATTCCTGTGATGTCAAAGCTGAATTTTCAGCAGCCATTACTCAAGTCTTCAGTGTCACATGATCTTTCATAAAACATTCTAATATGCTACTTTGGTGCTCAAGAAACATTTATTATTATTATCATCAATGTTGAAAACAGTTGTGCTGCGTAATATGTTTGTGGAAACCATTACTGTCATGTTTGATCAATTTAATGCATCCTGGCTGAATTCAATTAAATGTGTTAATTTCATAAATCTTGCTGACCCCAAATTATAACAATATCATTATTTTGCTCTCTCACACACACACACACACACACACATACATACAGGTGCATCTCAATAAATTAGAATGTCGTGGAAAAGTTCATTTATTTCAGTAATTCAACTCAAATTGTGAAACTTGTGTATTAAATAAATTCAATGCACACAGACTGAAGTAGTTTAAGTCTTTGGTTCTTTTAATTGTGATGATTTTGGCTCACATTTAACAAAAACCCACCAATTCACCAATTCACTATCTCAACCAATTATTTATTTAAGACAAAAATTAATTAAGACCAATAAAAAAAAAAAATTTTTAGTGAATTGTTGGCCTTCTGGAAAGTATGTTCATTTACTGTACATGTACTCAATACTTGGTAGGGGCTCCTTTTGCTTTAATTACTGCCTCAATTCGGCGTGGCATGGAGGTGATCAGTTTGTGGCACTGCTGAGGTGGTAAGTGGGTGATGTTTGTGTTTGCAGGTGGAGCTTCGTAAGAAGGAGCAGCTGCTAGAGCGTCAGTCGGAGAGGTTGAGCGCATCACAGCGTGTCATCGCTGAGCAGGAGGAGGAGCTTGCAGAGGTCGCCCGGGAGCTGGAGGCCACAGAGCAGGAGAACTCCCGCCTACGGGAGTCCATGGAAAAGATGCTGGAGGGGAATGATTTTGGGAGGTATGATGAAAACAATGACATTTTTGTTATTATGTATACACATTTCAAATATATTTTAAGCCATTTCTTCTTGTTTAGATCAGAGAGGGACAGTTTGCAGCCAGACAAAGATGTTCTACTCAGGAAGCTGCTGGAAGCAGAGATGGACAGCAGTGCAGCTGCCAAGCAGGTGTCGGCCCTCCACGAAACGGTCAGCCATGTGTCCAGGAGTGCGAGTGTGAGAAAAATACACCTTTCAAAACAATTCTAAATAGATTTTTCAGAACGTTGAAACCAGTTTACCATAACCTTGAAAAAAGAGCCAGAAACAGATATGCATTAAATTAATTTTTTTTATACCTTTGTCCAGGAAAAAAAGATGTCAGGATCAGACTCAACGCTCTTGACCCGACAGAAAGAGCTCTTGCTGCAGAAGCTGGAGATTTTCGAGAGCACTAACAGAGCCCTCAGACATCTTCTGAGAGAACAGCATAGTCGAGAGGTGCTGCTCTTCACAAATTCAAAGAATATTATTAGACAATTGCATTTTATTGTACTTAAAACAGTAAAAGGTTATTAAGCTTTTCTTAACTACTTTGTTTTGTAACAGATGGACTCACTAAGACTCTTAGAGCAGAAAGACGTGCTTCTGAAAAAACTTTCTGATGTTGAAGCAGAAAATTCGGTTTGTGTTGTTTGCGTAAAGCATGTTGCATTGTAAACAGGTGTTTTTAATTTCTTAGTTTTATCACTGAACTCCTTTCTGTCTTCCAGCGTATTCTTGTAAAGCTTCAGGACAAAGAGAGAGAGATTAACCAG